AGGCTTCAAGATCCTATCTATGGCTGTGTTTCTCATATCTTTGCCCTCCAACAACAGGTGATTCTTCGTCTGTGTTTTTCTTTTCAAGTTGGATGACTGGTCGTGGGAAAGATTTGAACTTTGACCTTAATTCGTTCTCAAATTGGGAGATCCCATGTCTGTTTTGGAGAAGAACGAAATACCCGTCAATAGGGTGTGGAAACCTCTCCATAGCAGATGTGTTTTAAAAATATCATTTTTCTTTTCCATTCGAATAATGGGTCGAGGGAAAGATTCTAACTTTGACCTTAATTCATTCTTTATATGAGTGTGGAAAACTCTCCCTAACAGACGCGTTTTAAAAACATAATTTTTCTTTTCAATTCGAATAATGGGTCGAGGGAAAGATTCGAACTTTGACCTTGATTAATTCTCAAACTGTGAGATCCCACCTCGGTTCGAGAGCAGAACGAAACACCTTTAAGAAAGGTGTGGAAAGCCCGAAAGAAAAAGTCAAAATAAGACAATATCTGTAGTAACTTACCTCTAGTCATTACGCATTAAAACCCTAATTCAGCTCCTAACTCATTAAAGCTTATTCAATTTTTTTTTTCAGGTTGTGAGTCTTCAAGCACAACTAGCTTCTCTTAAGGAACAAGCAGCAGAAAACATGATGAACGTATCTGGTAATAGAGGTGAGGCTGAGAAGAATAGCAGAAAGGTTCCTTGTCATCCACAAGATCTCCATAGCTGGTTTCAGTCAGAGCAACCGAACGTAATGCTCGAGTTCAATCCGAATCCGACTCGGAACAATTCGGCATCGAACCCTTATTATGATGAGAATTATAGCATTATGGTTAATTCTCAGTCCAATGAGAACTATGAGCATCACATGGCTAAAATGGAGGAAAGTGGATCATATGGAAGCTTTGAAGAAACCTCAGGCTATTCCATGTATACTCTTGATCACTTGCATTCAAATGTTCAACAATGGAGCTTCAATGAGTCTGCTGATGATTTACAATCAGTTGCTTTTGGTAATAGGCATTGGTAAGAGAGAGAGTGAGAGGAGAGAGAAAGGAATTTGAATTGAATCACAGTTGGAAATTATTAATGGAAGCCCTCTATTTCTTTCTCTTTATCTCTATAAACAAAATCATTTGGAACGATAATTTGCGAATTACCTTGAAATACATGTTTATAATACGAGAACGACATTTGTTTGGATATCTCGAACCGTTGATCCTCATAACGATAACCTACGAGTTCTCTTGAAATACCTGTTTATAATACGAGAACGACATTCATTTAGGTATCTCGAACCATTGATCTTCAGAACGATAATCTACTAATTGCCTTAAAATACCTATTTATAATACGAGAACGACGTTCATTTGGGTATCTCGAACCGTCAATCTTCAGAACGATAACTTATGAGTTCTCTTGAAATATCTGTTTATAATACGAGAACGACATTCATTTGGGTATCTCGAACCATTGATCTTCAGAATGATAACCTATGAATTCCCTTGAAATACGTGTTTATAATATGAGAATAACATTCATTTGGGTATCTCAAACCATCGATCTTCAGAACGATACTAATTGCCTTAAAATACCTGTTTATAATACGAGAACGACGTTCATTTGGGTATCTTGAACCATCCATCTTTAAAATGATAACCTACAAATTTCTTTGAAATACATGTTTATAATACAAGAACGACATCCATTTGGGTATCCTAAACCATCTATGAGATCCCACATCGATTGGGGAGGAGAACGAAACACCATTTATAAGGGTGTGGAAACCTCTCCCTAGTAGACACGTTCTAAAAACCTTGAGTGGAAACCTGAAAAGAAAAGTCCAAAGAGGCTAATATGTCGTTTCATTGATACGCAAAACAAATCCTAGAAACTAGAAAACCCATTAACAAAAATTATATTTTAATATTAGATAGAGAAACTTTTCCTTCATTTTGAGCTAATAAAGTACAGTTAAATTTAGGGTTTTGAAGGGGATGGGCTAAGGATTGAATATCATTCTATTTAAGGAAGAGTAGGATCCAAATAGGCCCATAGGTATGCTTAATTTGACACATATTATTGCTATCACACTCAATAGCTTAGCTTAATTACCTAATAAATGCAGATCCCAACACAATTACATTTCCATGAGCTGCAAAATTGCAGCAAAAGTTTGGAACATCTCTTTCTGTCTTTTTTTCTTGTCTTTTTGGGCAGCTAAAGCTCTCATTTTTTACCTCTTGGCTTTGCCTCTTTGTATGTATATCCTCGAGTAAGTACTCGTCAGCTTTACGGTCTTGTTATGTGGGTCGGGTATAATTACAACGCAAGATCTCACGTTGCTTCGATGCATAAGTTAGAGTAGCATAGAACTCGATAGTATTGATTGCGTCTGTCTCTTAAGTCAGTTTTATCATACTACATGGATGTTAGGATTGTACATTGAGTCGGCTGGAATTACGAGAAGGGTCTCAGCCGTTTCGAGATATCAATGGTCGGGTCGGGTTTCTCGCCTCGGTATGAGAAGTTTTTTGGGCTTTCTTAGGATTTTATACTATTTGAGGCCCATTGGGCCTAGCTTTTGGGAACATCCACAACACTACTTAATTAGATTAATCACCTAAAAGTATCATCATTGGTACCCCTCACCACAATTAATTAGATTAATCACCTACATTAATATTAATATTGATGAAATGTGTATGCATATAAATATTACAAATAATAATAATAATTAAAAAAAAAATAGTCAAGCCTTTTTATGAATGGGCAATTTTTAAGTCGGTATCAAATAGGTCATCTGAATTTTGAAAAATGTCTAATAAGTCTCTAAATTTTGAATTTTGTATTTTTTGAATTTACGAACTTATTGGACATAAATAAATTAACCGACAATTAAGAAGTTCAACTAACACGAGTACGATGTTAGTCAGAGTAGCAATTTTCAAGTTAAATATCGATGCCAAAATGGTAACTTTATTTATTTGAGTTGAACGAGATGAATAATTAAACTATTGACCATTGAAATGACAATTGATGTCTCTTGTCTTTCACTGAACTATGCTCAAATTGACAATTTTAAAATTTTTTAATTAAACAGTAAGAACAATTGAAATCCTAACTTGTAGTTACAATACAAGTAAATCACTTGTAAAAGAGTTCAATAAAGGTTAAAACTATCATTTCTAATATAATTGAGTAATAACTAAGGTCGGGCATAATAGTGGATCAAATGTTTTGTTGTATAGATTAACGAGTTCACATGATTGATGGGTAAGAAAAACATGCTGGTTATATTTAAATCGAGATGTATAACTTAATAGAAACAGGTCTAAAGAATGATCGAGAAGGCTTCTTTAGTAGAGACAGGTCCGAAAAACGATCGAGGGCAAAGCAAGAGAAATAGCTTTTGGGTATGTCTAAATGTATGCCCTTTTGTGTTCTTTGCTTTTCTCTATTAAATTCATGTCTAATTCTTTCTTGTCCTTATCCTTTTCACTTCTTTAATGCATTATTCAACTTTCCCCCCTTCAATCACACTCAACTTTGATAAGATATCAAATCTTCCCACCCCAATTAAATTAATGGGGTTTTTTTTTTTGAAAGAATATATTTTATAATATAAAGTACATGAGAAATAAATAATTTTATTTAATTAGTAATATGAAGGGTTAAGTGTATAATTTAGTGATCAAATGAGATTCCTTGTCTATTAGGTTTGGTGTTGGCCACATTCATGGGATCAAAATCTCAAATAATTAATAATAATTACTTTATGTTAGCTCACTTAGGCTAAAATTATTGGTGTCTTTTTTTAAATTCCTCTACAATGTATATAGTCAATAATAAAGTTAATGGTTTTGGGATTTTAAATGGTTTTTTTTAAGACCAATGATGGTTTGATAATCGATTAATTCTCTTTCATCTTTCGTGACATGGTCATGTTACAATTCTTCACTTTTTAAGAGTGACAGAACACTATTCCCACAAACCAATACGAGTCCTTCAAGCATGTCATGGCACTCGATGGTTCAGGTATTCTCTTGCATTCCCCGCGACATGGTCACGATACTATTCCTCACTTTTTGAAAGTGAACACTATCCCCACAAACCAACACAAGTGCTTCCTAACATATTTTGTCCTCACTCACATGCATCCTATGATTGAATCACCAAAAAGAAAGATGCACCTTATTGGTATACATTGTAACTTTCATTTCCTTTTAAACCTTTCTTAATCCTTCTATTCTCAAGATCATTCTCGTTTAGATTTGTTCTCGGTTCATTTATACACCTCTACTTTACTCGGGTGTTACTTGAAATTTTTAAAATTCTAGATAATCATGGTGAAAGATTAATTATGGGATGTTGTAGATAGAAATGGTTAGAAATGATGCATTCAATCAAGGGGACACTTTGCTTAGTTGTGTGAATACAAAATTATGAGTGATTAGTTTGAAACTTAGTTTAAAGGTTGGGTGCACCTAATTATTACTGAACATGTAAACCCTAAACAACAAGGCTCCACCCCATACCAACCTCCTCCTCCTTTTCTTCAATCCCTATGTTGGGAACAACTTTGTTCATAACCCTAAATTCCCACATTTTTCAAACTTCTTTTTTTTTTTTCATCTTCTAACGATTTTACTCGAGAAAGTCATTCCAAACTGACTCTTATACTATAACATATTCAATCAGAGAGTTTGGTATGGCGGGCCATAATCCATCCCTATCTCTGTCACCTGTTTCAATTCTCATCCTTACGACTTCACTTCGTTTAGCCAACGAAAATCAAAGTTTTCCATTTCCATCCCGTTCCCACTCTGTTCCCACAAGTTAAATGAATATCTCTGTATTCAACTGATTTTTCTTGACGATATATAGAGACAAAAAAAAAATTTATCCATTTAGAAAAAAACAAGAACAAAGCAACCAATCCATGATGTTGAAAGAAACATTAGAGAAAGATATTGGAATTAGTGTTTAGGGTAATCAAAACGTGTGAAATTAGAAAGGAGAATCCATGAGTTTATATATACATAATATATTTAGGGTTCTTAAATGATATTAAGGGGCCTTAAATGAGTATCATCTCTAACAAAACATGAACTTAAATTAGACCCTTTTTTTATTAAGTGAGGAAAATTAGTTTCTCATCATTCTAAGGGCCAAAGCTTGAAGCTCCCCAAGATCACCATGACATGAAGCTGATCTTCTTCTACCCAATGTTTGGCTCTCTTGATAATGGTTCATGAACATTAATGCTGCATCGTTGTTGGCTGCTGATTCCACTGAGCTCTGTGGGGAAACTGCTGGGTTCATAATTTGAGTCTCATAATTGCTTGGGATTCCATTCGAGAGATTGTTATTGAAGCTTCCTGTCCATTGAAGCTCCATGTTGCCTCCTGATTCCATCAGGGTTTGGGCAAGTTGAGCCTTGGCTTGCATCAATTGTGCTTGTAAGCATGCCACCTTCAAAATCAAGAACAAAAAACAAAACCATTTTAAGGATTTTAAAAAGAAGTATATGTACTGGTGTTCGTGGGTCCGGTTGAGTCAAATTGAGACTTTTTTGACCTAATCCAATTGTTAGATTTGTTAATTTTTTCAATCTAAACTACTCTTCTTAAATAATGAACTCAACTCAATTTGTTAGGTTAGTTTGAGTTATTAAGGTTATTCATTTGAAATTTTCTTTGCCCAAAGACCACAGCTAGTGGATATTGTCCGATTTGGTCCTCGATCTCATGAAAAACGTGTCTGCTAAGTGAGATCTCACATCAGTTGGAGAGAAAAACGAAACATTTCTTATAAGGATGTGAAAATCTCTCCCTAGTATATGCAATTAAAAACTGTGAGGTTGACAACGATACGTAACAGAATGAAATGGACAATATCTGTTAGCGGTGGGCTTGAGATATTACAAATGGTATCAGAGTCAGATATTGGGCGGTGTGCTAGCCAGGACGCTAGACCCCCAAGGGGGTGGATAGTGAGATCTCACATTGGTTGGAGAGGGTTACAAAGACCAGTGAAGCTGATGACAATATGTAACAGGCTAAAACGGACGATATCTACTAGTGATTGGTTTGAAATGTTACACTTACAAGGAATGTTTCGTTCCTCTCTCTAACCCAGGTATGATCTCACAATCCACCCTTGATTAAGATGCATATTCATTTTTAAATATTTAATTAACACGTGCAACTCAACTTCAATATATATTTTGAAAAACTACCTTCAAAATAGTTTTAAAAAATCATTTTTGAGAGTGATCCGATAATGAAAATTTTAAAAAATTTAAAAACAATTTCTTTAAATTAACATAAATACGAGATGATTTGATTGAACCTTATCTAGTCTTAGAGAAACTCATGAATCAATTGAGTCTAAAATATTGATCTATTTGAAACTGAACCCAATTCAAATAGTTCAAACAAGTTCGTAACTCAACCCAAACCGTATAGCTTGGCTCGAATTGGGTTGATCAAGTTTCCCGAACCCTCAAAAACATAATCTTGCATTCATATTCAAAATTACCTGTTGTTGGAGAGCAAAAATATGGGCGACACAGCCATAAACAGGGTCAAGAATCCTTGCTTGAGCTTCATAAGCAATAGTAACAACAGCCTCACAGCGATCATGAGCAGGGACATGATGCAGCAACTTAGACACATTACTAGCCCCAAACACTTTATGAACGGCGGCAAATCTTGCAGCCCCTTGTTCCGAGCTAAAGTAAGGAGCAAAAATACACTCAGCCACACATTTCCGCCGCAGAAACTTGCATGCTCCACAAGGAGAGCCACCACCACCGCCACCGCCGCCGCCGCCCGACACGCTACTATTTGCAGTACTAGAAGAAGAAGAAGAAGACGCCATGGAATAAAAGAAGGTAAGAGCGCACGAGTAGAGTAGAAAAGAGTAAAGGGAAAAGGGAGTGGGCGTGCGGGTTGGGTTAAAGGGTTAAGGCTTAATAAAGAAGTGTGAAAGGGAGACATGGAAGGTCTTTGTGTTGGGTCATTAGGGAACATCTCTTTAATAACTCCATATTTCTTCAAAATTCATCTACTTTCTTGTTCCTCACTCGTCAAACAAACTTTTAAATCCGACCCGACCTATTCTCGGTTATGAATTTTCTAGTTTAATTTGAATATGTATCGATAACTCTGATAAGTTATAAACGAATTATGAACTTTCGTCTTTTGTCTATGAGTTTTAAATCTAACCCAATCAACTTTCGTCTATGAACTTTCGACCTAACCTATTCTTAATTATGAATTTTCAAGTTTAATTTGAATATATACTGATAACCCTGACAAGTTATGGACGAACTATGAACTTTCGTTTTTCGTTTATGAACTTTAAATCTAACCCGATCGACTTTCCTCTATGAACTTTCAAATTTCATATTGAAAACAAAACTTCGTTGGCTCTTTATTTTTGTTTTGATTTTAATTAGCTTAGTTCAAGTATGTGCTGATAATCTTGATAGGTTATAAACGAACTATAAACTTTCGTTTTTCGTTTATGAGCTAACTTGATCGATTTTTTTCTATGAACTTTTGAGTTTCCTATCTTTTAAAAGGACGTGAAAACAAAACTTCATTGGCCCTTTATTTTTGTTTAGTTCGAGTGTGTACTGATAATCCTAATAAATTAGAGTAAATCTGGATAATGAATTTTACTCTAATATGTTAATACTACGAACAGGGTTTTAAGCTAAATAAGTTAGAGACGAACATCAAGTACCCAACAAACTTAACAAGGACAGAAATCGATAGCTTTTTAAAACTCAAATATATATTTTGAACGTTTAAAGACCATAATAGAACAAACTTTCAACGTCCCGATTAAACTAATATCGGGATTAAAAATACATATATAATAATTTCTTGTTTTTTTTTTTCTTTCTTTAAAAAAAGGAAGAAAAATGTGATAATTTATTTGATTGATGAGTTTTGATAAAATAGTAATTAATTTTTTGTTTTCCGCCGAACGCCGCACCTAAGAATTGCTGCGTTTTTGTCGCTTTCCGCTTTTTTAATTTGTAATTAAATTATGTGTCCCCACGAGCGTTTGGTCCCATCAAACCCTAATTTTTATTATTTTCCTTTTTTTAAAAAAAAATATATGTTTTCAATTCTTTCATTATTTTCAAAACATAATAATTAAAAAAAAACACGTTATGTTGATGTGTTGTGAAATTAGGTATAAATATATAATCATACATCAAAAACTCGAGCATAATTTAGTGGATAGAAATTTATTAGAAAATTGATATGTCGAGCCAAACCGTGAATACTCTTATTAGTGAATGATGTATATGCACTATCATGTTAATACGAGCATGCTTTCAAAACTCTCTTTCGAAATCTCTCTGCTCCCGTTTTCTAAAACTTTCTTCTTAAACTGAGGCCAGAGACTCGAGCATACTTGTTGTTGGAAAGTGAGTGCCGTACAACCGCAAGTTTGCTGCTATCAAAAGTGCGATTGTGACAAGTGGTATATTAAACCTAATCGAACCCATTCAAGAATGCTCCGATTAACTCAAAAGTTGGTCTGAACATTACTTAATGACTAAGCTATCTTAATCTTTATGGAGTTTAGATTTGAATTCTTTTCTTATATTAGATCGAAAAAATGGTCGTCGCTGGAATTCATGTAAGCACTCAACCTCTCCCCCTTTGCAAACGCTCTATTCCTCCAATATGTTTAGAATCCTTGTTAGATCCCATATCGATTGAAGAGGAGAACGAGTACCAACGAAGACGTTGGGCCCTGGAGAGGGATGAATTATGAGATCCCACATTGGTTGGAGAGGAGAATGAAACATTTTTATAAGGGTGTGAAAACTTCTCCCTTACAGACACGTTTTAAAAACCTTAAGGTGAAGCTCGAAAGGGAAAGCCCAAAGTGGACAATATCTACTGACGGTAGGCTTGGGATATTACAATCTAACCTATAACGACCCTACTTTTCTACTATAATAAAGTTGCTACTACATGCATAAATTAATTAAGATATACAGCAAAGTCTTTTAAAATATTTTAAAAGAGTGTCATGGACTTAGATGTTCATAAGAAAATCATAAAAAATAAAAAACAATGCCTTAACCTCAAGGGCTACAAATAACATGAGTGTCACTGACATAGCTACAATCTCATGACTAAAAACAATGTATTGGTCTAATCTAAGGGCTACAAATAACATGAGTACTACCATCCTAGCTTTAGTCTCATGTTTCACTGCGTTGTCGTCATCCATGCAGAGGTGCTTCAGTCCCATGGCTAAAAGCAATGTCTTGATCTAACATAAAGGCTACAAATAACATGAGTACTACTATCCTAGCTTTAGTTTCATGGCCTGCAGAGGTGGTTTCAATCTCATAGCAAAAAACAATGTCATGATCTAATCTAAGGTGTGAGATCTCAAATCAGTTGAAGAGGAGAACAAAATACCCTTTATGAGGGCGTGGAAACCTCTCTTTAGCAGACATGTTTTAAAAACCTTGAAGGAAAGCCTGAGAGGGAAAGCCCAAAGAGAACAATATCTGCTAACGGTGGGTTTGGACCGTTACATAAGGGCTACAAATAACAAGAATGCTACTACCCTAGCTTCAATCGCATGGTCATCACCACGACATCGTCATCCGTATAGAGGTGTCTTTCCTTTCCGAACGGAACGGAAATAATATTTAAAGATAAATGAAGTTGGTAGGTTTGAGATTAACATGAAGTTAAAGTGGGAATCTATTGGAGTTGGAGACAGTTTGACTTGGGAATCCAAATGAGACACAAAATTCTTTGGTTGGTTTCTAAATATGCAAAAAAAACTCACTAAGGCATTGGAAGTCGAGTCTTTAAGAATGGTCAAACAATTGCCGCAGAGAAGGGTTCAGTCATCTCTTGGAGAAACAAAGGGCCATGAAGAGCTTAATGGATCCACCGTCACCAAACTGAAGAAAATGACATTAAACACAGCGGCAGCTATGATTTTCAGAGAAAACAAAGCCTTTAAAGCCTTTGTTTTGTTGGTAATCATAATGGGATCCTCTTTTTCCCTTCTACAATTCCCTAGCTTGGAAGCGTATGACATAAGCAAACATTTACCGATGCAGCCATGCACAGTGTCACGGTCATGCTTGTCCAAGACATGTTGTTTATGACCACATGCTCATTACACGCTAAAACCCTTGTCTTGAGAATATGACAGTTCGACAAAATCATGTCTCTATCTGATAGACATGAAATACCTCAAAATGTACTATACGGATGCCACTAGTTATCAAATTCTCCCTGCCCAAAAAGTTATATACTGCTTAAGACGCCGTTGTTACCTTTACGCTTGCATGCTATATAACACCGTTTTCAATCTCTTACTCAACCTCTCTTTCAAACTTCTTTCCAAAACCTCTCTACTCCTATTTTCTAAATCTTCTTATCAAATCGGAAACCGAAGCTTGAGCGTACGTTGTCTGACTGTGAGCAACGCGATCCGAAATTGGCTTTACTCACTCAATGTTGAGAGTGAGTGCCACACTATTGCCAAACACGCAGCAGCTATTGCCAAACACGCAGCAGCTAGCCGCCTTGGACTTCAAAATCACGAACTTTCATCCCATTTAGACAAAGATAAGAATGTCAATCCAAAATCACGTTCTGTCCAGAATCACAAAAGATTTCAATTGAAACACTGTTTTAAGGCAAAAGCAACGTTTACTTTACATAAGTGGAAGCAACGAGAAGATCTCCCTCCTCAATGGGCTACTCAAAATGAGATCATTTCATGGCTTGCACAAAAAAAGGAGTTCAAAATAGCGCAATTCTTTCCCATATTAACAAAACAGAGTAGCAGTTTCTGAGCTTATGACAGAACTGGAGGCTGTACAACTTCCCGCCCGTTCGAAAACGTCGTGTTATCTTCTTCTCACCTCTTGTGATGAAACCTCACCTTTAGTAAGAATTGCAGCTTAACCTGTTTAATGACATCCACAACAACGACATAATTTAGGGAGGGAGTGATTCTGTAATGAGCGAACTTTTGAAAGCCGATTATCGACCTCATGGAATTGCTATCAGTTGTTGATTTTGAGTACATGATTCTTGAAGAACTAGTTTGATATTTTGAGTTCTCGTAACAGCCCAAGCCCAAGCCCAAACCCACCGCTAGCAGATATTGTCCTATTTGAACTTTCCCTTCTAGGCTTCCTCTCAAGGTTTTTAAAACGTGTCTGCTAGGGAGAGGTTTCCACACTCATATAAGGAATGCTTCGTTCCTCTCTCCAACCGATGTGGGATCTCACAATCCACACCCCCTCGGGGCCCAGCACCCTCGCTGGCACACCGCCCAATGTCTGGCTCCAATACCATTTGTAACAGCCCAAGTCCGTTGCTAGCAAATATTGTTCTCTTTGGGTTTTCCCTACTGGGCTTCCCCTCAAGGTTTTTAAAATGCGTCTTCTAGGGAGAGGTTTGCACACCCTTATAAGGAATGCTTCATTCTCCTCTCCAACCGGTGTAGGATCTCACAATCCACCCCCTTTGGAGGCCAGCATCTCGCTGGCATACCGTCCGGTGTTTGGCTCTGATACCATTCGTAATAGCCCAAGCCCACCACTAGCATATATTGTCTTCTTTGGGCTTTCTCTTCTAGGCTCCCCCTCAAAGTTTTTAAAAACGCGTCTGTTAGGGAGAGGTTTCCGCACCCTTACAAGGAATGCTTCGTTTTCCTCTCCAACCAACGTGGTTCTTCTTATGATAATTTTGTTTTCTATTTATAGTTCTTCTCGTTGTTTCTCACATCTCACCTTGTCTTCTTCGACACTACCAGAGTATGCAACATAAAACCAAAGCCTTTTTTAAAAACTTACTTGAGCTGTATCATACACAATGTACTCATTGTACATCAACTCCGACGCTT